CACCCCCAGGAAGAACCTATAAAGGAGATGTTTGCTTGTGGTGAGGCCAAAGGATAGTGAAATTCTTTTTACTCAATATTGACAGGAAAGGACAGGAGATAGGTGAAAACTTTGAAATAAAAAATCTGTTTTCCTCCTCACACTTGATGCCCCTGTCACAGTTAAACATATAAAGTAGGTAGCTTCCCTCTGAGGGACTCCTGATTTAACCCAGTCACTCTCTCTTCCACTGTGGCTGACTTTGGAGAAAGTCCTGAGAGCCCAGGGGTGCAGCGATATTGTGGAGGAAGAAACACACCCCAAAATAGACTATGCAGTGTTTCTAAAGGTAGGGGACCTTCCCGGGTATTTTCTGACGTGAGGAATGGAAAGAAGAGAAAGGAGGGAAGACAGTGTTAAAGAAAGAAGAGAGACAGACAAAGTCAGTACATAACTGAGAGACGGCTACATAGGGCTTAGAACCCAATGACCCCAGAGTGTCTCCACGAGTCCACAGAGGTGTCAGAAGTTGGGAAACACAGCACATTGCTGGGGATTTGTGTGGGTACATATATATAATATAGCATGTACTATACGTTAAGATGGAATAACCCCTAAACCTTCCTTGCTTCGTGTGGTGAATTTAGCACACACTAGTGTGGGAGAGCCTCAGCTAAATAGGAAGGGGTGAGCCAGGGACAGCTGGCTCTTGCGGGAGGTCGGGACAGAGGCTGGCAGAGACAACTGCGTGACAGGTGCAGCAGGGATGGGGTGGGCACATAGAGCTGATGGTAAAATAAGCTAGCTGTGTTCAGAGACAACAAGCAGACTGGCTTGGCTGCGAGAAACGGCATGCTCGGTGGAATGGCTTTGAAGTCAGACCCAGGTTGCAACGCCCTCTTCCTCTAGCACTGACTAGCTGTGTGATTTTTGAACAAGTGACTTAAGAGTTTCTTAGCCTCAGGTTCCTGATCTGTAAAGACAACGCCTATTTCCTGGGATTGCTGAGAGTATGAAATACATAGCAGGTGCCGAATAACAGTTCCTTCCTCTTGTCCTTCTTCTTGGCTGGTAAAGAGGAATTTTGTTATTGCAGAAAAGCACACACCAGGCACTGTGTCTGGGTGTCTTCCCCACATTACCTCCTTTACTCTACAAAAACCCTTCAGGAGAGGCTCTATTTATCCCCATTTCACATAGGAGGTGATAGAGATTCAGGAAGGTTATGTAACTTGGTCACAGAGCTGGTTTGTAGCCGATGAGGAAGAATCAGAACAAGGTCTGTCGGCAAAAACCCTAATATGAAAAGATACATGCACCCCAGTGTTCATAGCAGCACTGTTTACAATAGCCAAGACGTGGCTGCAACCTAAATGTCCACCGACAGAGGAATGGCTAAAGGAGATGTGGCACATATACACAATGGACAACTACTCAGCCATAAAAAAGAATAAAAAAATGCAATTGCAGCAACATGGATGGACCTAGAGGTTATCATGCTAAGCAAAGTAAGTCAAAGAGAGAAAGACAAGTATCATATGGTATCACTTATATGTGGAATCTAAAAAAAATGATGCAAATGAACTTATTTACAAAGCAGAAACAGACTCAGACACATAAAACAAACTTATGGTTATCAAAGGGGGAGGGATAAACTAGGAGTTTGGGATTAACAGGTACACACTACTATCTATAAAATAGATAAACAACAAGGAACTACTGTATTGCATAGGGAACTATATTCAATATCTTGTATTAACCTATAATGGAAAAGTATCTGAAAAAGAATATATATATATATATGTATAACGGAATCACTTTGCTATACACCTAGCTATATAGTTGCGCTATATAACACAACATCGTAAATCAACTATACTTCAATTAAAAAAAAATTTTTTTTAAAGGTCTGTCAGACTACAGAGGCCCTGAATGAACCACTCTATCTGGCAGCTTCCCAGGCAACAAGTGATGAGATGGAAAAGGTATCAGTGGAAGGAATCCTCACAGGACAGGTTGAGAGTTAGCAACTAGTAGCCAGAGCTTAGATCTGTGTTCTCATTTGCTTGGTATGTTTCATGGAATTCTGGGTGAAGCTGGTGCTTTGCCATTCTCAACCAGACCCACTTTCCACTTCTGGTCACTCACCTGAGTAATGAAGGAAGCACAAGAACTTCAATCCCTGCCTCACTCTCCCCATCTATAAAATGGAGAGTTTGGACTACATGACCTCCAAAGTCACTCCCAGCTCTACAATGCACGTGGGTAGAATTTACAGGGTTTGGGGCTGGGACACCATGCCACTATCCTCAAAGCCAGCCCCTGGCTGTGATGCCTCTTACCATAGAAATCCTCTCACCCAAGGAGTTGTTTAATCAGAGAATCCTAGAACAGTATATAAATGTTCTTAAGCTTTGTATTTTAATTCAAAATACATAAATGCACATTCATTCAATTTCATTGATGCAGGTGCAGTGCTTTTCTTCAAGACCAGGCCATGTGGCAAGAGAGCAGCGATGAATTATTCATACAATTAGCTATGGCCACAATGCATCATCCCCATTCCAGTTTGAAGTTCCTTAAAATAGAAAGGGAACTTCAAGAGGTTGCAGATAAATCCGAATGCAGAATCTCTCTGGACTTTTGTGCTTTTCCCCCAATCTTTTATAGTTGTTTCTCTCATACTTAATTTGACAGCAAATTTTCAGTGACTCACCTCTACAGAGTCTTTTTTTAAAGTATTCAACATCGTTTCCCTAGAAACAAATGCTATTTCTTTTCATATTCCCATTTCAGCAGTTTAATTAAACTATAAGTCAGGTTTTGTCATTCTTCTGCTCTAGCTCCTCCAGTGGCTCACCCACCTGACTGAAAGGACAAGCTAAAGTCCATAGAAGGACACGCTGCTCTGTCACTGCCAACCTCTCTGACCTCATCTCCTGCCATCCTCCCCCTGGATCACGCGCTGCAGCCACAGTGACCTCCAAGTACTTCTTCAAATGGCCAAGCAAGCTCCCACTTCAGACTTTACACTCCCTGTGGAATTCTCTTTCCCTGGATATCCAAGGGGCAAGCTCTTATAGTGCCCTTCAGGTCTTTCTTCAAATGTCACCTTACTTTCTCAGGGCGCCCTTCCCTATCCCCTCATTTCAAGAGGCCACCCTTGTCCCCTATTCAGCCTTTTCTATCTCCCCACACCCATACTGTTTTCCTCCTTAGCACTAATCTGACATTCTAAATATTTTATTCATTAGAATTCGAGCTTCATGAAGGCAAGCATTTTTCCTGTTTGTTCACTGACGCATTCCCAGTGCCTAGAATAGCAGGTCCAGAGTTGTCACTCAGTAAATATTTGTTCAATAATAATCTTTATTATTGTAGTAAATGTATTGTCTTTCTGCCTGAGTTGCATAACCACAATCACAAGTACATCAGGCTAGAGGAGGTGCAGGAACAAACATAGCAGAGTCTTGGTAAGCAAAGAAGGCAACTAGAGGGGTCAGGAGTGTGCTAGTGCCCCCACTCCTTTAACTTGATCAAACCAAACTGACCTCTTCCCGTACTTGATGCTTTCGTATTCAAATGTGCAATACCATGCTGCCCATCAAACACAGAAGGTAGTCTAGCCACTTTCTTCAGATTCAGGAGAACAACAGAAAGAAGACAGGTTGTTTTGTTCTGGTCCACCCCTTAATGGTCAATTACCTTTAGCAAGCCTCTCTCTCTCTCATCCTTGGTTCTTCATTAAAAAGGGGGAGAGTATAAAATAATACATGACCTGCCTATTTCACTGATCTGCTGCATGTATCAGGTGGATCGATAGCCATGAAAAGATATTGAAAAGTTACAAAGGACTCTATACAATAAGCAATTTTCTCTGTATTAAAATGGACAACTAACTTGTCTATAATATCTACTACAGCTCCCCAAAACTGATGATGTATTTTATAGCACTTTGATTTTAAAATGATTCCTAAAATGTATTAAAGAATAAACAGAAGCAAGAATAGGCTTTTAAGGGCATGGAATGGGAAAGAGAGTGGAAATGGCTTTCACCTGATTCTTTAACAGAAAAATATAAGGAAGGAAAAAACACATGAATCTCCAGAGCAGTAACTATATTACATAAAGTTCAGATTCAAGAATATTACTGTGAACATCTACAATTATCTAGACTCTCAGATATTTCAAATATTTCTCATCTATTTCAATACCACAAGGACAATCCAAGATGACATATTGGTATCACGCATGTCAATAGCGGGTTGGGATGTAAATGAGCAAACCCTTCCCAACCATCTGAGTTTTGTTTTTATTACAGCCTTTATTAAACTAAAATAAAAAAGTGGTGAAGAATGACTTGTCACACCACTTATTAGAGTTGATGGAGTGTAGACGGTCTTTTCGATTGGCTTTTAACACACTGTTATGCACCATAGTACATTATTAATGAAAAGAAATGCAGGAATCTTGCATCAGCTTTTCCCCCAAGTGATCCCGACATTAAATTCAAAATCAATTCTCCTCTACGTGCCAAAGGATCAGAGATAAAATGTTAATTTGTTTGTTACCAAAACTTAAAAGTATAATTCAAAGCAACAGTCAGGATCCTCCATATTGTATTCAATAATTGTATATCTTTTTGGAGGGGGGGATTCAAAGGAAGAAGCAAACAAGTTGTTTGGAAGATAAACAAATTGTGCCCTAGCTCATATCTGACAAAAGAATGGGATCTAATTTTCTCTCTGATTGAAAGAACTCACAAGACAGCCATGGAATGCAAGTTGGTGTTGGGTGTTTGAACTTCTCTTCCAATACCTGAGTATCCAAATGGAACTAATTCACTCTGGAAAAGGTATTAAGTAATTGAGCATGATTGTGCCAGAATGAGGGATAATCCTCAAACTGAAAAGGAAAATAAATACATTTTACAATGACAGGGTCACCTCACTCACTCAGTAACTTCAATCAAGCATTTTACATGCAAAATAAATAAACCAAATATATGAAGAATGACCTACCGCCAACAAGGAACCCTGATAGACACAAGCACCTGTGGGGAAAAAACAAAACAAGAATTAAAAGGGATGCATAATAGACCAGTGGGCACTGCCCTGGCCAAAGTACACTAAAACTGCATCTACATGCATCATAATCAGTAAACTGTGCTCTTTCCAAAGCTTGAGGATTCTGCCCCTGGGGAAAGAATCCCATACACCAAAACAACATTTCTTGGACACGCATGAGGGAAAGCATTATTAAAACTCATTATTTGAATTTTAAAATAAATGTATGTATAACGACATGCTATAAATACACTGGTGTATTTTCCTATATGACAAATCAGCAAAGCCTTCCTAATCCAGTCCCAATTTACTTATCCAGGCTTCTCTGCCACTCTCTGCTTACACAAATTCTCCAGTCCAACCCAAGAGGCCAACTTAGGATCCCATGGTAATGCTTTCATATGCCAATGCCTTTACTCATTTTTGTTTCCTGCAAGAAATGCATTTGGTCTAATCAATTTCCTTGAACTTGATCCCATCTCCTTCATGGAGCTTTCCAGCCCACAAAATTATGCTTTTTCTAAACCAATTTTTGAACAGCACAGCAGGTGTTGATTTAACCTATAAACATGTAGGCAGTGTGCTAACAGATACTAGCTCAGAAACAGGCTGCAAAGCAGACTGAAATAGCATACACACACCAAGACAGAGCACACCTTGACAATGTGCCACACTTAATGTCCAAAGAGGGAAGGACACATTTTACTACAGTGCTTGGATGCCAACAGATCATTCGTGAAGTCTCAGTACTATTAACTTCTCAGGAAAGGACTGGTCTACCTTATCTACTAATAATGGAATTAAGAACAATATTCAAAGAAAAGGAGATGGTTATTTACACTTGGGGTTTGAATCAAAGCTCTCCATGGGCAAATTTACTGAAATGACTTTTTGTGCCCTTGAAATTCAAATAAGAATAACTTGAGATAAAATGTTGGGGGGAAATTATTCCTGACTTAGTTTTAAGAAATTCTGTTCCAAAGACAGTATTTCAGTCTATGGTATATCATAAGAAAGGAGATATAGATATATATATATAGATATATATGTATATATAAACACATATATGGATATAGATATATATAAAATAATCATATGACATGTGGATATGGATATATATAAAATAATCGTGGGCTTCCCTGGTGGCGCAATGGTTGAGAGTCCGCCTGCCAATGCAGGGGACACAGGTTCGTGCCCCGGTCCGGGAAGATCCCACATGCCGCGGAGCAGCTGGGCCCGTGAGCCATGGCCGCTGAGCCTGCGCGTCTGGAGCCTGTGCTCCGCAACGGGAGAGGCCACAACAATGAGAGGCCCGCGTACCGCAAAAAAATAAATAATAAAAAAAATAATCGTATATAAGTACATAAATATATATCAACACAATGCAATTCCTAAATTATGTAAATGGACTTATTTAATTACTTCTCACATTTAAAAGTTAAACATAAAGCTCACTTAGGTACAATTTAACAAAATTTAACCTTTAGAATAAACAAACAAAATTTAACCTTTAGATGAAGCCATCCTCAAGTAATTTTATTACCCTCCTCCATAGCACTACCCCCCAAAGGCCAGTAAACTTTCAAAGCTCCAAAAGGAATCAGGTATCTTAAGATGTATCCAAGTACTCATATCAAAACCCATTTCTGGAAATTTAGACAGATGTTATCAAATCACAGTAACATGAAAAAATAAAGCAGCATCGAGTGTGGCATCACAAACACACTTGGTTAAGCCAAACATCTGTTAGAAACGCAAGTCAAAACTATGTGTAACTGCCGATAAATTCTATCATTGGAAAAGGGAAATAACTCGATTTGGGTTGCTCTAGGATGTACAATTCTAAAAGAAATAAGCCTTGGCCTCTGAGGGCTTTCCTAAAACACAACATCTCTACCCGAAAGGCAGCTGCAGAAATGAGTCTCCTTTAACACAGCTTCCAAAACCTCATTGCTTCCCCGTAGAAAAAAAGAAAGCTTTCTACTGTGATGCCGAGTCCCATCAAAAACATTCATCACCACCCAATGCCAGATGCAATCCTCCAAAGCAAGCATGTTTCTCCCACACTGGCACAAGCTTCACACCCACCAGCAGACTAAGTCGGGAGGTTTGTTGGCATTGGGTGCTAGGTGCAGCTTCTCGTTCTGCCTTTCACTAATGGATCAACTCATATACTTTGGAAAACAAAGTTACTCTCTCCACTAGTCACTTCTTTTCTTAAGGAGCACTGGAATGATTGCAACTCTACCTGAAGTTTTGATTTGGGCTTTATTTGAACTTGAAACTCCAGCTGAAGGGGAATTCTAACTGATGATGAAGATCTAGAAGGAGAAACAGGCCTTCTTCAAGGGAAAACAGGAAAATAAGAGACTTTGCCAGTTTCAGGGCATGGAATACAGCTGAGAAGGCAGGTAATTTAAGTTCTGACACCTGTGAGAAAGTGCATAAAGTTGTGCTGGGTGAAGGGATCACATAGTGCCAAGAAGGAGGCTGAGATCTTGAGACCTTCCTCCTGTGGTTGGCGCCTTTCTTGCAGGTCACATAGGCAAAATGTCACTCCATATTCATTTAAATAAATGTCGTTTCATATCCATTTTCAGGCCCTTTGGCACATTAGAATGTACTCTATTATGAGACACGTGTATAAAATCTGAAGTTTTCAGAGGAAATGTGAGATATAATTTGCACCAGTACTCACATCCTGAAACTATTCACTATGGAAACCCTACCTGATAACATGAGGAAATTAGAGAGGTTAAATCCAAGTCACAAAATGTCAGACCCATTTGTTCCAAGAAATAGTGGCACATGACCATAACGTATGAAGAAGTTTGGACAGCATGGTATCACAAAAATATGACTCATTAGGAACAAGCAGCCACAAGTTGGTAGTTAAATGTTCAGGCTTTATTTTGTGCTATAATTCAGCATATGGCTTGTACACTGTGGAATAGTTAAAATAGAATCCTTTTCTGGACTGACGGGACGGCTCCTGTCCTGATTACTGTCAACCAGGAGTCAGATCAATTAACAGGGTAGTTAAAACACAAATGGGCCGACAGTTTTTGAACTAGTGTAAGATTTGGCACACGACTCCAACTATGCCATGTTGGTAGTCCCCTCTCCTCTCCTGAGGCAAGTGGTGGACAGTATTTTATGACTACTCATATCTGAGTAAAACTGAGTAATATTACCACTCAAGTCCACAACGGCGAATACAGATGACCATGCTCTCACTAAAGGATTTATTTGCAGAGGGTAACACCCAGAATCCAATCCCCAGAGGAGAACAGAAAGGCAATATGATGGAAATAAGAGCCTATGACAATACAACACCCTTTATTTCCACTAGCTGGTAGTTGCAAAAGCCAAAAGATGCTGAGTTGCAATTATTCAATATTGGGAAACCCACCAAGGACCAACGTTTACATGTCCCTACTGCTACCTTACCTATATTAATGATTTCCAGGTATGCAAACTCCCTGAGGGAAGGCATTATTTTTTTTCATTGTCTGTATGTCCCTACCAGACATAACCTAATAACCTGATATATAAGCTATCAATAAAGATTTGTGGAATGAAAGAATGAAGAGATAGGCTATTTTTTCCCATCCAATGTCTTTCCTTCCTTAACATTGAGTTTTAAGCACTGAATCCTACACAGAAGGAACTCTTCTACCAAGAGTGGAACCAAATATGCTGATCCACCCATAAATAAAACACTCTGTCTATCAAATGATCCTTTTCAGTATATTCTGCTAATGGCATTTAAAGGAAAAAGACTGGAAGATTGTAAGCTTGGCTAAAGTCACATGGGGAGTGATGGACATAGACTGGAACTCAGTTCTCTTAACCAATTCAAGACTCTTTATCCACAGCCAACATGTTCTATCTAGTGTAACTTCACAGGATTTCCACGGGCCGACACAACTCAAGATGTACTTCTCCAGAAACACATCTGATTCAGAAAGCACCCACATTTGCTGGAAGTTTCTCTGTGACTTGTTGATTTTATTAAGTTCTCAAATCACAGTAGTTTGTCAGCTTGGCGATATAAGAAAATGTAAAATAACACTGCCAATAACCTGCTTGTAAACCTTCATTTTTCTTTTAATAATTAAAATAAAATTCAGAGCTAGAAAGATGCAACTGACCAAAAATAAGGCAGCAAATACTGAACTTTTTTTTTTTTTTTTTGCTATGCTGGATGATTAGCAGAAGTATTTTAGAGCTATCACCTAGCCAACTTCTGCATTTGGTGAATAACAGACCACAGCCCAAAGAAGTTAGGTGGTTCATTCAAGGTCACACAGCAACAGTCTAAGCTTAATTTGAAACGTGATTTGGCAATACTCATTCACCTGACCAAAATTTTTTAGCACCTATTGTGTACCAGGAGCTGAGTTGGAAGGATAATAACCAGGAGCCATCCTAAGCCCTCTGCGAGCACACAGTTAGGTGAGGAAGATTGTATCTTTATCAACTAAAATTATAGAATTATTAACTGGTGCACCAGAAATATATATGACATGCTCTCTGAGCATTGAGAAGAAAACAACAAATTCTGCCATAGCCCGGACAGCAACAGTATCACAGAGTAGGTTGCATCAAGAGACCCACACGTGTGAATGCTTCTTTTCCATTTTTAAAACTCACTTCCAAGGCTAATAATAAAAACTTGAGGAAATCTCTAATATCCTTAAGCTCTCCATTCTTGACCTCAATGCTCGTATTTTTAAGAGAAAAAGAAAACCTTGACGGAACCAAATCAAAGGACTCATCAGATGACAGCTGAGTTTTTGGCCGTGGGACTGTTATCATTTAATTAATTTAATGAGATAAAGTATGTAAAGTGTTTAGCATAGTGCGAGGCAAGTAGTACAGTGCTCAGTAAATGTCCATATCCATTCATTCATTATTAGGTAAGCATCATTATGACTTGGATGGAAACTCTCAGATACCTAAGAATCCAAGTTGTGGGATGATTCTAGAATGTTCTGAAGGTGGGATTGAAAGAGTAAGAAGCAAAGTTTCCAAAGAATCTTTGGAGGAATAGCGCCCCTCGCGCCCTACACTCCTCCCCCATCAGAAGACTTTGGACGTTTTTAAACTTTGCCCTTTTTGTCAACCACTCTTCCAAAGAGCGAACCCTGCAGGCCCTTAGTAATAATGGCTTTTGTAATTTCAAGAGATTTGATTCTGAAAAGCAAATCTCTTACATCATTCCAACTGCCCCCTGGTGAGCTATCGGGGACGGACAGCACGTTTTCCGCGTTGCTGGAACATGATCCTAAATAGGAAACTGCCACCACCAAGTGCAAACGTAATTTTTCTGTCTCAAATTCACATTTGGGTGGCCTAGGTTGACTCTCCCACGTGCTTTACTACAATTAAGCTCTATACGTTTTATTGCCTTTTAAGTTTGCATACACACGCACACATACAAAAGACACGGTTCTACAGGTTATGCCCTGGTTGAAAAAGGCTGCACAGGCCCCAGACATGCACTTCCCGGGGATGATACACACTTGATATAATTCCCGGGAGGGTGCGGGCTGGCGGTCGCTCCACCCACGGGAAAGTCCCCACTGCCGTGCGTTTCCAAAGCCACCGTCACTTTCTCCCGGGAAGCTAGCTAGGAAAAGGCCGTTGCTCAGGTGGCTGCAGGTGGATCCGAGCAGGGCTGTGTCCTCCTCGGCGGCTGCCGCTGCCCCCAGTCCCACGCCCGGGTCCGCACCCGAGCGGAGAAGGCGCCCCGCCCAGCGCCCGCGACGGCCGCGGCTGCGGCTCTGATTTGCCGCGGGGCAGGTGAACTCTTCTTCCCGCAGCTGGATGAATAATGAACGGAGCCGGGAGGGGAAGCCGAGAGCCCTGCGCGGTAGATTAAGCCTCCTTCCTCAGCCCGCCGCCTCCCTTCCCCCTCCCTAAGCACCCGCTAGGCGACTTTCCTCGCGACTCTAGGCAGGTGGGAGCTCACGCCGCCTCGCGTCCCCGGGCCCGCCATCCTAGGACCCCCAAACTCTTGATTTCCTTATCGATTAATTTATTTGCCTGAGCTCACGTTGCTCTTGCTATCATGGCGACAACTCCCACAATCTCCTCCTTTCTCACCCCCAGCTCCAGGGTTTTACACGTAGGTTGGAGCCTCGGAGGAAAACTGGGAGGCAGGGGGCGAAGTCAGAGAACGGAGCTAAACTCTTATTAACCACTTCTTTTCTGGGGAAGAGGCAGGCTCGTGCCTCTCTGTACTGGGGAGGTTTCTTGCAGTGCGATTGAACTGTCTACTTCCAGAACACGCTCTAACCACCTTATAAAATCTTAATTGGACTTTACGGGTAGACTCATTGCGGTTAGGAGGGAGGGCGAGAAGGGGGTTTTAAGGTGCCGGATTTTATTTTTCATAGGAGCATAAGTATTTTTACACAGGTAATTGCAATTGTTCACTCCTCACCTACGCTCCATGTAGATGCTTTCCATTCGGGGGCACCGGGGAAGTGGGAAGAAAGAGAATCCAATTTCAGAGATGGCACCTCGGTCGGCCACCCACCCACCCACCCAAATGCACTCAGGGCAGAGAGGGAGGAGGGAGTGGGGCTTGTGATCTGCATACAAAACAATCAGGAGTTGGAATCTTCTCACAAAAAGCCCCCTCTAGTTCCACGGCCACCCACCCACCCACCCCCAAAAAACTTCCATCTGACCCACAATGCCATACACCCGCTGAGCTTTTTAAAAAGCACGATCACACACACACACACACACACACACACACACACACGGCACCGCTCTCTCACCTTCAGAATGATGAGGCAATACTGCAAATTCCGCCAATGCCAGGGCCACCCCGAGCCACACTTTGAAGACACTCATTGCCTCCTCTGCACCCAAGCTGGGCAAGCCCAGCCTTCAGCATCCAAGAACCAGTTCTCAGCCAAAACGCAGCCTTCGGCGTCCCAGGCTGGGCGCCCCGAGAGCGGGGTGCGACGGGCGGCGGGCAGCGGGCGGTCACCTCCGGGGAAATGAGGCGATGGACGGGCGAGAGCGACACTCTCGTGGCGGGGGGGAGGGGGAGGGATTCAATTCACTCACTGCCTGGCGGAGAGCGCGCCTAGCTCTCCAGCAGAGCAGGGCGCCAACGTCGGCTGAGCTCGGGAGAATAAAAGAGGAGGCAGGGCGCAGTGGCCCGCGGCTAAGGCTCGCCGGAAAGTTGCCCGTCACCAGCCGACTGGATCTCCCCGCATTTCCCGCAGGCCGGACCCGCCCGCTCCCGGGTCCCCAACCGTGGAGATCCCGGCGCAGGTTCTTCAGCAGCAGCTTTCTAAAGTTCGCTTGACACTCGCAGCGTCGGCCGAGGGGGTCGCCAGGAGCCCCAAAAGACCCACCCACTCCTCCTTCTGGCCTGGGCCACCCGGCTCGGCGGACCTCAGCCACCCGGGGCGGCTCGCGGGAAACTTCGTGCAGCGCTGCGGACGGCTCGTGGGACTCGCCGGCGCTGCAGCCGCACGCCGCCGCCGCCGCGGGCTGCGCTCCCTGCCGCAGACTCCGCGAAAGCTTCTGAGGAAAGCCGGGGGCGGCAGCGCCAGGGACCCCGCCGCTACTTTCCCGCCCCCGCCGCTAGCCCGGGCGAGGAGCGCTGCGGGGCGCGGCTCGCTCGGCGCCAGCGGCCACCTCCGCCCCGTGCACCCCGAGCCGGTCTGCTGGGTCGAGGTATGATTACGGGAGCGGAGGAGGAGCCATGGTTTTAAATGCAGCGAGGAAAATGCTAGAGAGCCTGGAAAGGACTTCCGAACTAGAGCCACTCGACCGGAGAGCCCGGAAACGCACAAAATAAGGCCCCCCTCTGGAACTCCGCGTTTAAAGGACACACGCTCCGCCTTCCTCCGCCTCCCCCCGCCCCCACCCTTCCTCTCTCCTTTGCTCCGGGTGAAAATGGACCCAGAGGCTCGGAGCTTTTGCAAAAGATTCCAGAGAGTCACGTGGAAAGGGGAGAAGCGAGGAGGGGGGAGTGAGGGGAGGCCGAGAGAGCAACCTGATCCCCTTATTCTTTCTGCTGGAGTTCAGATTGCCTTTGTCTGGGGCGGCATCAAAAGTGGTCACACCAGGGAGGGCTGGAGGGGAAGATGGCGTGGTCCTGGCTCCTGCACAGCCTAGGGACCCGCGAACCGGATCCACAGCCCTCACTTGGGAGGGGGTATGCCCACATTCAAGGACCCCAGCGCTACTCCCCACACACACACCCCGCCACTCCGGCTGCACTAAGAGAGTGAGGCAGATCTGATCCATCGTCCTTGCTCTGAGACCATCAGGTCGTCGCATCGTGGGTTTACCAGCAGCCTGGGAGGATATCGGTGTGTGTGTCCTAGGCGAGGCCTCCCACCGCGAACGCACCTTTCCCTCTCCCTGAGAGAGGCTGTCAGTGGAACACTACGCAGCCTCTGCGCGGTGGCTCCAGCTGCGCCCCCAAATGCCAAAGACTGGGAAGTAAATGTCAGGGCAGGGCACACTGGGGCATGCCCTTGAAGAGTGGAGGTCTTGATTCCTGGTCAGGACTGAGTGCCGGCAGCTATATTTTTATAGGACCAAATAAAAATAGCTGGTCTAGGGTTAATTATTTTATGAGAATAGTTGCATCAGAAAGATGCTGCCTGGATTATGAGTGGCCCAGAGAAGAGACGTCCTGGGTCTCTCGGTTGACCTCAGATGGGCTAGCCTGTCAAAGGGGAGTTTGTCCAAGCATTGAACTCCGAGCTGTGAAACAGCAGGGGCCCAATTTATTTCCAGTCCCATCACCATAATCCAGCGGACGTTCTGCTCCGCACTAGCACGAGTAGGAACGATTCACTTTTCAGAATAACTCGATAAATTGTAACCGGCAGATCCTGTAACTGTTACAATTAGCCCAAGCAAAAGGAAACGTCTGACAACCTAGCGCTGATCTTTAAGTATTCACGAGACCCAGGGGTTGTGCAAGCCTCTCCTGGGCTGTGGCGGTCTCAGGGACAGAGATTGTCACCTTTGTAGCTGAAGCACATAGTAGGTGCTCATTAAACGTTTGTTGAAAGAATGGACTGAGCAAAAGAGTAAGTCCCTGAGAGGAGGCCAGGTATAAAAAGAAGAGGTGAGATAAAAAGGAAACAGGATTTCCAAAGACGCTTTGCTTTTTGCTTCAGATAAGGAGGTATTCTAAAATACACCACTTCTGCCCCTGCCTCAATTTAAACAGTGAAATACTTGGAACAACCTATAATACAGAATGTGTTGAGTGAATTATGATTCCTCCATAAACTTCAATATTATACAGAGATTTAAAATATCCTAAATGTATATTTATTGACATGGAAAGATGTTTTTAAAATATTATTGGGTGAAAAAACGTAGCTCATAAGAAAATAATATAATGTTCCAATGGTTTTGCTTGTACACATGTACATTTATGCATTTATACACACATATTCATACACACGTATCTCAAAGAATATACACCAAAATACTATCTCTGAGAATTCAAGTGAGTTTTAATTTCTCTTTTTAGCTAACCTGTGTTTTCTCATTCTTTTATATGGAACACATGTTTAAGTGCACGATGCAAAATTATATTGGAGAAATTTTCAAATAACAGAATTAGCTAATTCAAACTGGCTTAAACTACATGTATGGCATTTACTGTCTGTCATAACTAGAAACTAAGACTGTCCTTAGAAGACCTTCAGATTGGGTCCAATTTAGTACTTTAATGATGTCATAAAGGACCTGAATTATTTCTTTTTCTCTGCTCTGCCTTTGTGATAGACATTACTAGTGTTCACCATCATTTCCTGGATACATGGACTATCACATTTTCCCAGCCCACTCACAGTTAGGCGAGGCCATGAACTAGGTCTAGATCTGCACTGTCCAATACAGCAGCCACCATCCACATGTGGTTATTGATCTCTTGAAAGGTGGCTACTCCAAATTGAGATGTGCTGAAAGTATAAAGTATGTATCAGATGTCAAAGTCTTAGTACACACAAAAAAGAATGTAAAATATCTCATTAATTTTTTATATTAACTATATGTTAAAATGATAATAGCTTGAATATATTCTTTTAAATAAAATATATTATTAAAACTAACTTTTCCTGTTTCTTTTTACTTTTTAAAATGTAGCTTCTAGAAAGTCAGGTTTACGTATGTCCTCTAATCTATAAGATGAGGTATGAGAATGAGATCTAATCTACAAGGATGGTTGAGAGAAAAAAAAAAACATGTAATATCAAGCACTGGCAAGGATGTAGAAGAACTGGTACTCTCACACGTATTTCTGGTGTTAAATGCAAAGTTATGCAGACACTTTGGATAACAGTTTGGAAGTTTCTTATAAAGTTAAACATGAAGTTACCATATGACCTAGCCATCCTACTCCTCTAAGTATTTACCCAAGGGAAATGAAAACCTGTGTTCACACAAAACCCTGTACGTGAATATTTTTATTGGCTTTATTAGCCACCAAAAATTGGAAACAATCCAAATGTCCCTCAACTGAGAAGTGGATAAACAAACTGAGGTACATCCATACAACAGAATACTATTCAACAACAAAAAGGGACAAACTACTGATACAGACCACAGCATAGAGGAATCTCAACTGCATTATGCTAAGTGAAAGAATCCAGACTCAAAAAGCTCATATACTCTGATTGCATTTACGTGACATCCTGGAGAAGCAAAACCATACTGTCAGAAAACAGAGCAATGGTTGCCAGGAGCTGAGGGTAGAAGGAGAGTTTGACTACAAAGGGCATAGAGTAATTCTGGGGAGAGATGAAAATGTTCTAAAACTTGCTTGCAATGGTAAGTACACGACTGTATGTGTTTGTCCAAACTTACAGAACTATACACTTTGAAAGGGTAAATTTGCTGTATGTATATTATATGCTAATTTAAAACAAAACAGACAGCAAGCAACCTTAGCAAACAAACATTACTTTCAAATTTGGTAATAACAATAAACTTAGTCAAAATAATTATACATGTGGCTCATATTATGTTTCTATTGGACAGCACTGTTTTAGACAGTGGGCTCTGTCATTTTCAGGCCAAAGCAATCATAGCAATGCTCCCTTCCCTGCCTCAGTGAAGTCTGAAACCTATGATGGCAGCATCATTAGATGGTGGAGCCTCTGTAAGCCCAAGTCTCTGAATGACTCTTTGGAACAAAGGCCCTGCCAACACTCACTGGACACCTAGTGTGAGAAATAAACTTTAATTTGTTAAGCAATGAAGATTTGGGGGTTGTTTGTTACTGCAGCATAACCTAGCCTGTCCAGATGAATGCTGTCTTCCATTGTATCAACTTCACCTCCCACTTCGATCCTGCTTTTAGGTACAAAATAACTACCCACAATTCTCCAAGCTACATGCTTTTTAGTTTAATCTACAGATATTTGATCCAGAACTATCTAAAGAAGCAAGGAATATACTTTCTTTCCCCAGCAGACATTTCCTTGTGTTTCATTGGTTCACATTCACTCCCATGCTCATCCCTGAATCAACATGTTTAACAGAGTATAGGATTTCACGAACTAGCTGAGACCTGAGTCATAAGACATGCCCCACCTCTACAGTCAGGAGTTGGGGAGTTAACATCTCCCCAAATTAGGATGACTGATTTGTTGCCCAAACCAAGATGCTTTAGAGAGTGCTAAAGAATATATTCATAATTATTCTAGAATAACAGACACAAACCAGGGCTCCCAAAGTACATGGCTTCATGCTAAGAAGATTTGGCTACCTGAATGAAAAGTTGTTAGTAAGAGTAAGTGGAATGGATACTGGGGAGATAACCACAATGACTATTCTAAAAAATATTTTTAATCACATACCTACTGACTTAGTCCATTCAGGTTGCTGTAATAAAATGCCATAGACTGGGGAGCTTATAAACAACAGAAATTTATTGTTCACAGTTCTGGAGGCTAGGAAATCCAAGATGAAGGTGCAGGCAGATTTGGTATCTGGTGAGGGCTTCCTGGTTCATGGACAGTTGTCTTCTGGCTGTAACCTCACATGGCAGAAAGAGAAGGAAGCTCTCTGGAGCCTCTTTATAAGGGCACTAATCCCATTTGTGATGGTTCCACTCTCATGACCTAATCTCGTCCCAAAGACCCCACCTCCAAATATCATTACATTGGGGAGTAGGTTTCAACACATGAATTGGGGCAGAGGTAGGGGATGGAACACAAACATTCAGGCAATAGCACATACAAAGAAAATAAAGGGTCCATGAGGTAGTAATGACCAAATGTATTCTCTATGAGGGAAAACTCAGCAGAGTGCCAAGTTTGCTCCTGAAGCCAGCTTATTTTCAAAGTATTCTTTCCGAGGTTAACACTACTAGGAATCAACGTTAGTAAATTCGAGCCTCCTGATGTGTCTGGAACTCCCCCATCCCCACCCCCCACCACCAAGGCTTTTTAATGACCTCAAAGCCTAAATGACAAAGAACAACATATTCCACATTTTCAGAAGTAAAGTCATGACTTTGAGATTATTTTCACTGCAATCCAAAGATACTGGCCTCCACAAACGCAGGAAAGAGAGACTGTGTTATCTCACTGAGCCCAGGGAATAATACCTAGGATGCAGTCTAAGTTCTAAGACCAACTGGTTGACTGACTTCAGATAAGTCATTAATAGAACTTCTAAATCCTCATCTGTAAATGGGAGATAATAATACCTGGGATCTACTTATCAAACTGGTTGTATGGAGGCTCAAATTAAGAAAATGGATATGAAAATCTTTTGAAACTTTAAGAGCATTATA